TTAAACTCTGAAAGGGATTTGGAAAGACACCCCATCATTCCTCTAACTGTAAAACTACCCGGAGAAGGACACACTCATAGGCAAATATTGGAGCTGAGGTTTTTTTGGTGCTTATGCCATATTAGCCATAGATCCGTGGTCCCAAATTACATTCCACTTAGGCAGGATGACACAGGATCTGCAATGGTGAATCTATGCTTCCTGGGAATTCCTTTGCTTATATAATGGAAATACTGCCAGGTTGATTAAATCAGCTGTAGCTCGGTGGAACAGTACAAAATTGCCAATAATGGGCATGAACCTACATCTATATTTGCTACGTATTTTCAATTTGATAATTTTCCTTGATATAAATAGAACATGTGTTAATAGTACCTGTCACTCCTTTATAGCTTTCTGCATAATAAGAAAGATCCACAGGAAAAATAGGTGCCCTCTTGCATATTCATAGGATAACCCTAAATGTTAGACACATAGTTAAAGACAATCATACCAAAAAGGAATGAAACTTCCAAATATAGCACAGATTCTGATTGGCCCAGAAGAGTTGTATTGTAAGAGGGACAGATCACAGATGGAGGACTTCATAAGAAGTGTAGCATTGAGATGTACTAAGTATAATACATCTGGTTTAGCTCCATATTTCCATTCCTGTTTACTTCATACCTAAAACCAAATACTGATTTTATGCTGACAAGTCAAAATGTCCAGCATCTCTGAGTGAGATAGTAATCATACATTTACTGTTCTGCAGGCATATAAACATCACGCAACAAATTGCAGTTACACTTTTATTCTGGATTTTGCTCATTATTCTGTCTCCTTCGTGGATTTAGTATAACATTCTGCACAACTTCTGTCAGCCACCATTTCAAAAGGCTACAAATATATTTATTAGTGAGGCTTTTTTTTTCTAAATGCATAGGTTAGAAGAGGGAGATAGACCATATTTAATCACAAAATTTTTGTCTGTTGTGTATTCGAATATAATGTTGTTAGGCAAGAAATTGAAGTTTGTCACTGAATAAATGAATAGCGAAATTTAAGTTGTCCATATTAGAGTGACTCTGATCCTGCTGTGTCAATGGATGTCTTATTGTTAAATTCAATTAGAGCACTTTCTTCATTTCAGAGTGCTTTTGTAAATTCCACTAAAATTTTCGGTAATATTCAAGAAGCTTTGCAAAACGTCTAGTCTATTTGTAATACCTGGTGACATAGTACAACAGCGAACTGCTAAGCTTATGTATGACTGGAATTTTGTATTTGCACAAGTGACTCGAAGAACAGAATGAGCCCCTCTAACCCTGATGGACAGCCCATGATTTACACTAATTTAAATACAGTTATAATTGTAACAGATGTTTTGTTTTAAATTAAACTGATCTCTGTGGTTGTCTACCTTTTATAATTAGAACTTGTCTAACTGTGCATTGGACACCATCTGCAAGGATTTAGTGATAACTGTGTGTGTTGTGTATCCAGTGCTTTTCAACATAGGGTGAATGCAATATATTAAATCTTATTCTCAAGATGAATAATACCATCCTTTTGTTTTAAAACATGTCATTTTCTCTTAAGCTATCATTCTTTAATATTTAATCAGCACAGATAAATGCATTTCATTTGGCCATAACTATGTGTCACAATAAGATAAGAGACAGGAAAGCTAATAAAATAAATTGGTTAAGTTATCCAGAAGATAATGCTTTGGAATTTAGAATATGTAACTATATTTTTCAAAATGGGTGTTGATTTAGCCTGTGGCTCTCTAAATGACACCATTTGTGAAGGAAAGCTAACAGACATCTTTAGTGGCTTCAAGAATTGGTGATTTTCTCACAATTGTTCCCCTTAGTTGCTGTTTGTTTTGTTTATTACAGGACACTGTTCTGAAGACAATAGTGTGTAAGGGTTACATCTGGTGTGTGTTCAAAAACCAGTGGCGCAAAATGCCGAGGTGGGCTGGGGTGAACTGCATTCTGAGAGCGGGACTGGGATAACAAATTGCCTTTGCATGAGTGTCCTGGCATATAGAATCACTCACAAAGGTGGATTGTTGAGGCAGAAGAGGTGAAGCCGGGGTGATCACAGGGACTGGAAATTATTATTCCCCCACCTTGTTTCTTCCACCTTCGTTTTTCTTTTTTTTCAAGTCATTTAGTGACCTGAGGTGAAATGGACAGGAATAGATAGCGCTCACGCTGCTGCTGGCAGCAGAATCACTGCAGTTGCTCCCTGGATGTGAAAGGAGGGGAAAAAGGAAGAAAGAAACCCATTGTTGTTCTCTAAACATAACATATGTAAAGAGAATAGGTTTGGTTTAGCTGAAACCACCCCCTTTTTCCTGTAGAAATTACTTCCCCCCCACTGCAGTTCAGGAAAAGGGAGAGATGATTTTTTGTCTCTCCCTCTCCTTGCACGCACAAAGAAAACGTGGGTTGATACCATTTTTATTGTTCTGCTGGGGTGGGTTTCAGACCTCGCATTAGCATATTGAATGTCTAATTGAATTCGGGGGCCGTGTTAATCATCTTGTTTTGTTTAGGGGCGGCTGGTGAAATGTGCCAGCAAATGATTGCTTTGGCTTGGGGTTAGCACGGTGCTGCCACCCCAAGAAAAGGAAATCAGGAAGGGGGAGGGAGCTAGGGAAAGGCGAGTTGACTGAGTGATGTCTGGAGGGCGAACTCGCGTGTCTCTTTGGTGGTGTGTGCTGCTGTACTGAAATCCACCCCTCTGCTGGAGCTAAGGCGAGAGTTGGAGGCATCTGACGCTGCCGTTTCCAGGGTGAAATTTCTAAGGCTGATCACTAAAAACAACAGCCAAAAAACCAAAAATCCTCAGCAAAAATAGCCATCGGAACAGAAGATCCGGCATCTCCCGGTCCAAGTGGCATGACCCAGACAGATGTTTGAGAACCATCTGCCTTTAAACTAGCCGCACACACACGGGG